TTATAAAAAGCGATACGATGAACATCCTCATGCATTTATCTTACCAATTGATAGTCATCAGCATATAAATGGCATTTAAAGCCATGGTCCTGGATAAGATCACCTTGCTAAGCCTGGGCAGTCCAATGTTGAGAAGTTGAGATGAGGAGACACCAGGAGGAGGGACTGAGAAGTCATAGCCAAGGAAGCAGGAAGATAGCCAAGAAAGGAGTGGTCCCTAAGGCCAAGGGATAAATGTGACTTCTGGAAAAGTAAGTGATCAACTGTGTCAAACACAATTGAGAAGACAAGGACTGTGATATCTTAAAGCAAACCTGAGCATGTCATTCTTCCTCAGAAAACCTATCAATGCTTTCCCAATTCACTGTGACTAAGAATCCCTCCCCCAAGCACTCACGTGTGCCCTCACATACACATACGGGGTAACTGTAAAATCCTGCCTCCGCTCTAGCTTCAAATGTATCACTGCTCTTCCTGTTCTCTAATACTGGACTTATTTCCAGTTCTCAGATGGATTCCAATTGTCCACAGCATGAACTCAAACTTCAAAGTGTACACAAATTTCCTGCATTTCTAACAAGTTCCCAGGTGATGGTGATGCCGCTAGTTTGTGGACTATACTTTGAGTACCAAAGACCTAAAACATTCTTTCCCCTCCTCCTTCCTATCTTCTATCCATCTTTCAGGTTTCAATTTACGTATCATTTCCTCAAACCTCCCTAAATAATCAGGGACTCCTCTTACATGTTTCCATAGCACTCTGTACAACTCTATATTAATTGTCGCATTCACAGTAATTAATTCACCTTTCTTTTCACTGGTCTCCAGGTTCCCTGAAGGCAGTGATTATATTTCTCTTGTTTGCAGATGCCTCTCTAGTGCCTACCTCTGTGCCTACTATAGAGTTAGGCATATCATTTGATTACTCGGATCAATATTTATTGACATGGAAAGATGTTTACACATAAGTTTTTAAAAGTTAGGTTACAAAACATTATGCATATGGTATTATTCTAGTTTTGTTCTATATGATTTATTTGCAAAAGGAAAACTCTGGAATCCTATATTTAAGAATGTTTAACAGTGTTATCTATAAATGGCAAGATTTTAATTGTTTTTCATTTTCACATTTGCTTGCATGTTTTTGTATATTTGTTAAAATATTTTTATTGTTTTTTGTAATAAAATAATCAAAAATGAAATTAAACATTGAATTTTGACACTTAACCTTTGGTTTTTCCGTTGTTGTTGCTGCTGTTCTAATGTATAAAACTAATGATCTGTCCACATATTTTCCAAAAATTGACTAGGAATTTCTTTTTTAATTTGAAGTCAACTAGCGGGTTAAGTCTGGGATTTATAGCCTGGCATTGCTCACCACCCAAGAGCTGGCTATAAGGGGTGCCTGATTTGAAAAGGTCAGCCAATGTTTGTAGGACAGGATTTTTGCCACCAACTCTCTATTGATGGTGAATCAAGGAAATACGCAAGTAGTTTTAGATAGACAAATCAGTGAAATGGAACAGAAATCCATAAATAGACTCAATAACATGTCGGAATTTAAGGTATTTGAAAGTTAGCATTTCAAAACAGTAAGGAAAAGAAGATTCATTGAATAAATTATATTTTAAAATTGTTCTTATCAAAATAAATTACAAATGGATTAAATATTTAATTTTTTTCCAAAGGAAACCACAAAGTTACTAGAAGAAAATATGAGAGAATACCTTAAAATGTAAATGTATAAACACCCTTTCTAAGATTAGCATCAAGACTAGAACACATTAAAAAATTGCTACATTAAAACATTTCTGATAGCATAAAACACCAAAAACAAAACGAAAAGCAAGCAACAAATTGAAAAAATATCTATAACATATATGGCAAATAACTAAAATTTTTAATATAAAAAGATCATTCACAAAACAATACAAAAGAGATAAATGACAACTCCACAAAATGTGATCTAGTAATTCTCAAAAGGAAAAAAGCAAATAACCAAGAGACATCTAAAAATATGTTCAACCTTACGAGAAATGAATAAAAATAATAAAAGATTAGAAAAAATTCAACAAGAGCAACAATCATAGTTTGGTAAGGGTGTAAGGAAAAGAATAGTGTCATAAATTGGCATAAACAGTGTCACCATAGCTTGGTTATAGCAGTAACTATCTGGCCAGGCGCAGTGGCTCACACCTGTAATCCTATTATTTTAGGAGGCTGGTGCAAGAGAATCATTTAAGGCTAGGAGTTTGAGACCAGCCTGGTCAACATAGTGAGACTCTATGTCTACAAAAATAAATAAATAATAATAATTAGCCTAGTGCTACTCAGGAGGCTGAAGTGGGAGGAGCCCAGGAGTTCAAGGTAACAGTAAGCTATGATTATGCCATTGCACACCAGCCTAGGCAATAGACCAAGACCCTGTCTCTATTAAAAAATTTTTGTATAAAGCAGTAAATATCATGAAATAATTTAAATGTTCACAAACAATCTTGAGTGAGGAAACTCAGGCTATAGAATGTCACGGGTGGTTTAAACACATACATATACAAGAGATGTCTGAAAGGCTGTTCACCAAGTTGTTAACATTAATCTAAGTCTTTAAATACCTTTAATGATTTCCCCTACTTTAAAGCCTCAAATATAAAATCCCATACCAAAACTTTGAACTAAATGTCTATAAACTTCTCTATATAATATACAAATCATTTTTAAAGCAAAAATATGGCCAATACAAGATATTTGTATAGTTCTCATCGTAATTACTGTTTAGCAAACTAAGCATTAAGTTTGAACACTACACTATACTTCAAATAAACTTAAGTATATACCCTTCCAATTCCATTAAAATAGTCTTGGTATTTGCCATAAATAATGATTAACAAAATCAGGAAACATTAAAACTATACAACCACAAGTATTACTACCTTTGAAGTTAACTGATCATTGCACAAAAAATTGCAAAAAGCCATCCGGTGAAAGGGTATTCATTTTGTTTACAGTTACCTTACTTGAGAACACTTGATAGTGCAGAAAAAAATTATACATTTCTCTGAACTTGCAGACAGATATATTTTGAAAAGGTTAAGCTATGTTTAGCAAGGTAATCCTCAAGAGATAGATGCTGGAGAATTAAATATTCAGTACTTAAATTAACTTCTTATTTAGTACTTAGGAACAAATTGCCAAGAATTATCCTCATCAAATAGAACATTTATTGACTCTCGGAAAAAGAAAGTGAGGTCTACTTGAAGAAAAATATTTTCAGAATTGGAAAGAAACCAGCATTTCTAACACTTTGCATGAATAATTGAAGCTATAAATCCTCCAAATGATGCTTGGCTTGTGTAGTGCTAATGGGAATGACTCAAAATGGTAGAGTTTCATGACTACTAGATTATGTTTATGTATTTATTTTCTACTCCCAGCTTTAGGCTTTAACATACATTCCAAAGAATGGCATGCTGAACTGCTGTTTTCTACTGGAGATACTGGAGCAGTTCTGAAATTTCAAAAATTCTTCATACACAATTTTTTTCAAGAATTTAATTTGATAAAGCAAAACTAAAAGACTTTAGATGTATAAAATTATGATTGATAAATAAATCCTAAAATTTTTTTTGCCTACATAGAAAACAAACATAAAAGTGACCTTCTTTTAGGGATTCAAATAGAAACTAATTGTGATTGCTAATCACTGGGAAACCAGGTAATTTTTAATTCATGAAATAATGCAGTAGTGTTGCCATTTTTACTAGAAGTCAAGTTTGAGAAAACGCATTCAAAATATGCCATGAAAAGTATGGTTACTAATGATTTTGTGACAGTGTCACTAAAAGTAATATTTTAGAATAGCATTCTCATATACCTAGGATAGTTAAATTATAATACTAAAAAAGTTTCCATTTAACTTAATATTTAATATTTGTAATAGTTTTAAAACATGTAGTACATTTTTCAGTATTTTTACCAAGGCTTCTGAAAGGTAAGAGACTGTAGAGCAAGCATTCTCAATGGGTAGGTGATATCCCTCCCTGGAGGTGAAAATTGGTGCTTTGGGTAGGGGGAGCACAGAGTGATTAAAGCTTACTCTTTTTATTTATAAAGGACATACATTCATATAATATATAAACAGGTATACAGTATATCTAGCACATTAAAATTTAATCAGGAGGGGTGATTAGAAAAAAAAAAGCCTTAAAATTCTCTTTAAGTGGGTGATAATGAAAAGGCTGATAAAAACTGAGTTAGACAAACCTGGATTCTAGTCACTATGGAGAGATAAGAACTTCAGCAAGTAACCTGATATCACGAACCCTAAATTTCTTCATGAATAAAACGGAAATTACAACTTCTCCCTTACAGTTGAATATTTAAATAGGAAACATATGCAAAGCACACAGCACAGTGCTCAGAATACAGTTATTGCTGCATAAATATTAGGTTCCTTCCCTTTTCTCCTTTCTTTTGAGGATGCTGTAAATTATACACTCTCCACAAAAGAATATGCAGATTCCAAAGGAAAGTGAGACCCAAGAAGAGGAACGAACTCCAAGAGCAATGACTTTTGTATGTGATCCCTGGACCCAAGTATGCCCAATGATGGTGAAATCTAGTTCAAATAACTGGGTCCAAGTGTCAAATCTGTGATTTTTTTAATTGTCTATGTGTAGCTAATTGCTTACATTTTATTACTTTCAATTTCCACATTTGTACTCCAGAGTTGTGATGACAAACAGATGAGATCATGTATGTAACACTCTGGGAATACTAACGTTACCTTACAATTGGGAATGGGTTCATGTTAATATCATCAGGAAATGGAGACACAGACCTAGACTGTATACCTGAGGAAGCGGCAGAAAAAAAACAAAAACTGCTCCCTTCTCTTTAGTGTCCAAGAACAGAATCAAGTCTTTAAAATCTAGAACTCAAAGGCAGGATTTATGTGATAGTTTACATTCAGTTTAAAATCAAATTACCAGTGGAACTCTTACCTATCTGCTTGTTCTTCATCTGTAAAGTGATCATCTAAGAAAGAGGTTCCAAATTTTCCAAGCAGGGTATTGTGGCCTTTCCTGTTAGCAGTGTGATACACTCGAGAAGCCAGGCGCAAGTCAATGGGCAGTTCCTGGGCTGGGATGGTGGTGCACAAATCATGAAGGTGCGGCATGGAGTAGTCTCGTGGAATTCTGCAACAGAGAAAAGAAAGTGGGCTTCTTTCATCATTTTGTGGCCTTTAGATATAAAGTACATTTATACTGACAATTTAGTTCAGGCTCTAAAGACATATATAAATATAGGAGATCTGATTTAAAACTATAATAATGGTATATAACAAATTTATTATCACAATCTCAGGCCATTGTCCAGAGCTTTAAACTTGTATCCAACTGCCTGCTGAATAGCTCAACCTACACCTCTACAGACTACAGTCTACAGGCACCTCAGGATCAAGTCTAAAAACACACTCTTTATCATAATCTCATCCCAACCTCTTCTCTCCTGAACTCTGAAACTCAGTCTGTGGACACCATATCCAGCCATCACGTATTACTCCTTTGCTACTCTGCTCAAACGCTAATGTCCCTAAAGAAGTGGAACAATATAGGTAGGACATTATCCATTAACTAGCATTGATAGAACTCTGGGTCTCTCTAAGTTAGTGTGGCATCTCCCTTCCCACTCTGCTGGGACTTGTATGTCTTTCCTGTCTTTCCTAAGTAGAGAGGATGACATGAAAATCTGCTTTTTGTTTTTGTTTTTTGTTTTTTGTTTTTTGTTTTTGAGACGGAGTCTCACTCTGTCACCCAGTCTCAGGCTGGAGTGCAGTGGCACAATCTCGGCTCACTGCAACCTCCACCTCCCACGTTCAAGCGATTCTCCTGCCTCAGCCTCCTAAGTAGCTGGGACTACAGGCCTGTGCCACCACGCCCAGCTAATGTTTGTGTTTTTAGTAGAGATGGGGTTTCCCCATGTTGGCAAGGCTGGTCTCAGACTCCTGACCTCAAGTGATCCGCCCGCCTTGGCCTCCCAAAGTGCTGGGATTACAGGCGTAAGCCACTGCGCCCAACCCAAAATCTGCTTTCTTAATCCCCAGTGCCACCTGTCATCCAATCAACAAATAATTATTGAGCACTTACTATATGCCAGATTCTGTGCTAGGTCATCTACACACATTTTCTCTAATTCCCACGATGAAGCTGTATTGGAAGTATAATTATCCGTATTTTGGGTAGGTCACAAAATTAGTGGGTAACCACTGGGATCCACACACAACATTACTGGCTATTGACCAAACTTCTTGCCTATTAGTGACTTCTGGGTAGAAGTGGTCCTTCTCCAGAAGTACTCCATCCCCACCTTCCTATTAAAGCTTACATAACCAAATGACCTTCTTTTCATCCAATCCAATCCAATCCAATCCAATCAGCTTTAGATCTTTAGATCATGTTCTCTTCTGAACCCCAAAACACAGCTGAGAATATGAATGACTTGTTGAAATTGCTCTTCCTTCACGGGCCTTTAAAACTGCAATATCCCAGATTTCCATCTACCTCTCAAATTCATCATAATCTGACTTAGTCATTGGTTTTCCTTCTCCAGTTTCCGAACTGGGTGTGGCTTCTGAGGTTTGAACTTTTCTTTGTACATTGGAAAAATCATCTTTAGTGTTTCAGCTATTATCTCTGTGCTGAGAGCTCCCAAATCTTACTTCCAATATCACTACCTCAACTAGATTTCTCATTTTGGAGATGGAAAACATCTTTGACCCCTCTCTCTTTCACCTGCACGTCCAATGCAAAACAGTTTCTCCCCTGCACAGGATTGCTCAGATGTGCTCCATCTCCATCCTCACTGCCAGCATACCCTTCATCACCTCAGCCTGCACAGGCAGTCGTTCGCCAGTTCGGTTGAGCACTGCAGCCTCTGTCTATTCCCCTCTGCAAAATTCTACCAGATCGATCTCCTTTAAGTGCTCCTTTACCCAGCACATTGATTGGTTGTTGCTTACTGCATTTGTCTCACTTCCTTTCTCTATATTTCAAGGCTCCTAGCCTTTGGACTTACTTCTAGCATAGTGATTAAGAGTACAGACTCTGGAGTCAGACTGCCTGGGTTCAAACACTGTTTACAATTCTCACTTGGTCATAAGCAAGTCAATTAATTTCTCTATACCTTGTCCTGGATACAGTTGCTTTAAGAAAGAAGAGTGAATGCATTTAGAACAGTGTGTCTCACCTGGCAGAAGTTATTCTCATCAGTTTCCAGGACAAATCACAGGGCTAGACCTGTCAGTTCTTTCAGTTATGGATACAGTGCTGTCTACCCTTTTGTCCATGTCTAAATATTCTTCAAACAAGATCTCAAGGACAGACTTCTCTGCCAAGTTTATCTTTTTTTCTTTTTTACAAACTGTCTTTTTTTGTAAGCTGCTCTACTCTTGTGTCACCCATTTTGACCCTTTATCTAGAGGGTTAATGCTGGTCTGTCCACTGACCACTTCATATGGCTGGGACTGATTCAGAGATTAGCATGGTGTAAAGACTATAGACTTTGGAGTTGGCTGGGCCTGGATCAGGATCTTGGTTCTAATACTTGCCAACTGTATTACTAACTTCTTTAAAAGTCTTCTGATAAATGAGCATAAAAATCCCTAACTCTTGCCTTTATAAGAACTGATAAAAATAGAAGATGTGTCATTCCCAGTCTGTTGAAATATCTCAAGAAATGGTTTATTTTTAAGGTTGTTACTATTATTTTGCACTACACAACACCTAACCCATTGCCAGGCACCATAAGTACACTACTGAATCATTAATAGAGAGTGGTCTATGGCATTTCCAAAAAAGCATAGGGCCTAACACAAATAGGATATGAAATGTGTTCATGTAAAAGAGGAAAAGAGAGGTAAGTCTAAACATTTGGAAATGCCTGAGACAAAGAGGTCTAACTGGAGGAGTGAAAGGGGGTGTCCAGAAAGCCAGGGCTCCCAGGTACTCTGGACTCCTAACAAAGGGCTTTTAAAATAGAGGTGGAAAAAAAAGGTGTGCTCTGATGTCAAGCTCACCTACACCATCATTCTACTTGAGACAGGTCCTGGCTAGTAGAATGTGTTTGAGATTACATTACTGATTTTTATATTTTCTTTAAAAAGCATCACAACAAATCTGAATTCCTATGTGCCCATTATAGTCTGTTAACATTAAGCAAATATATTTCCCTTGGTTATTGACCTAAATAACAATATGCTGCAATAGATGTTTGAATTCCCAAGAATACAATTTAATTTGAGGGCTAGTGAGAAAATTTAGCTTGAAAATTGATTAAAGAAAAAGGAACAGTAAATAAAAGACTTTCAGAAACATTTTTCCACGGTTCTTTTTTACGATATAATTTTTAAAAATATCAGACTTTTATTCCTCTGCATCTCATTCTATTTCTCTCTAATAAAAATTTCTAATTTTTGTTTTAATGAATTAAAGCAGTACTCTCTCTCTCTCTCTATATATATATATATATCTCAATAAGATCTACAAATATTTTTGGCATGCCCAGGAAAGGTTGTGTGTTTTTATAGCACACTCTTCTTAAACAGGACTATTTGTCATTCTTTGAAACACTAAGACATAAAAAAGAAAAGACTCTGACTCTGTGTGTGGCCATACTACTCTGCTTAATGCACTAAATGCAAAAGGTTTTTTAGAAAAAAAATCAAGCAGTTTCTGCTTCATTGATAATCTGACAGTAACTATTTATTGAAGGTAAAATACTTGTTGTCTGCTGTCACTATTTGTTTTAATACATAATCTTGCTAACTAAATGAGCTTAAAGCAATGCAGATAAGCAATGGTATGTACAGGGTCACTTAAATGCCAATTTGACTGTTTCATAAACTTTGGAATTCTTTTCCCATGAGTCTATTCTTAGCTACTAAATTGTGAGTAATATCCATTTACAAAGTTTGAGCTAGCCATAAAAAGGTTGTCTTCCATGTCCAGCATACCTTTCCGTTCCCTAAGAAACAACAAAAGCTAATAATTAAAGCTTCTTCAAACCCCCATTAAGAGTTAAATGAAGAAGAATCTAGAAGAAACCAACCCATAAAAACTTAGTGGTGAAATAAGGAGAAAATCTGAGTATCAACAAGGTGACTGGCAAAACGTAAATCATAATCTAAATTGCATTTCCACACTATTATTTAAAATTGTGGTTGTATTCCTGTGTAACAAGAAACTCCATTAAAATTATGGATGTGAGGATGAAGCATGATATTAATAGTAGAGAAAAATAATGCCATCTAAATTACCAAACAGATGGCTTATGGACATTTTGTGTTGGCTTGTTTTTTATTTTATCATCACAAAATTAACCAATATAATAAGTAATTGATCCAAATCAGGCATTACAGTGACCAAAAATATCAAATCTAACATGCTAACATTTAATTTTCTTTAGTCTCACAAGGAGTTATTTTTATTCTAGTTATTGTTACATCATGAAAGTAGGCACATTTGTCAAAAATAGGAAAAGAAAAAAGCATAAAGTATAGCACTAACTGTAAAATCTGTCACCAACTTTTCCTGTGAGAAGGTTTAACTTAGCTCCCATACATGAATTTCTAAAACATTTAGTTTTCTTTTATAAAAATGTATTTTCACGTCTCAATGCTACTGAATAACTCCTCTTCCAATAGGAAAATTATAAATGTAAGAAAATTACTTTTCACGTAGTTTTTTATCACAAAGAGGTTTTGAAGACTTTCTTGGTCTCAGTGATATACGTTTCTGCATTTGCTTAACTTCTTTTCCTTCAATTTGCAAGAATTCTGATGATTTTGCCTTTAAGAAAATATAAAGTGTAAGGGAAGATGCAACACGAGAGTTAGATCTTTCTCTTATATTTAGTGAGTCATCTAATATTTAAACTCCAGATTTCTATGTATATTTTATAACAGAATGCTAAAAGTAAAGTGGTAGTTTCATCTAAATCCATTCCTAAATTTTACATATATACCTATATAACAATAAAAATATTAGTACCATGTTTATTTACAATATTTTTATTTATTACCTTAAAATTACTGAAGAATAAATATAATATTCCCCCCCCATAAGTGCACTCTTCTTTATTGGTATTTGTAATAAAACTTACCCTTATATCCTTAAAGTTTGGCATGACTGCTAGTTACAACCACAAGCTAAAAAGAACTTTAGTGCTTTATATTTTTGTTTTGATCAGTTTATCAGAATAAACTTATGCAGAATTCATGGTAATCATTCATGTAAAGATATTGTTTTCTGTGGGTTTCTCTATATTTTTTTGAGATTAGATTTAAGGAAGAAATCAGGGAGGCCCTCCTTGGGAAAAGCTATGGTTGAATAAGTAGAAGGTAGCCAGATAAAAGGAAGTTAATTTTTTTATGTTAGGTAGGGTTTAGGTTTGATACAGTAGTAAGGAAGGAGCTATTGCAACTTCTTAGGTGATGAAGTAATGAAGAATAAAGAAAGTTCAATGAATACAGAGCATTCCATCCAACCATTTTGGTAATCTGAATTTCCTGTACAGTATTTCCAGAAAGTGGTCATCACCTGGCTGAAACATGGGCAGGAGTGGAGAACATGAATACATATAAACTCAACCAGTTTCTCTTTGAAAGTCTTCAGTCCTGGAATTTTTGCTTGTTTCTTTATTATTGAATCTAACAACTTTCATCCACCAGTCTCAATTCGAACTTCGGGAACCATACAAGCACAATCTAGCTCTCAATTGTTTGAGAGACAGACAAATATTAGAATACAGTTTAATCCCCTGGGCCTGCTTTTCCCTCAGATACACATCCCCAGTCCTTTCAACTCTACCTTACATGACATGGTTTTGAAGTACTATGTTTAGTCATCTTCACTGCTTTCTTCCAAATAGTCTCTAATTTGTTAGAGCCCCTCCTGGGGTTGGACACCTGGATGTGAATATAATATCTGAAGTGTGATATAATCAGATCAGCCAGAAAAAAAAGATGGTATTTGTCAATGAATGCAAACTATGATTGCATGTGACTTCATCACAAAACTACATTACAGCCTAAAACAGTGAAGTTTTTCACATTTGCTACTAAATCTTGTCATCCCATATCTATGCACTTACTTTGTGGATCCTAAGGCTATCCTAATTAAATTTCATCTGATATTTGACTAATCAAATCTTTTTTTAATTCTTAATTTTTGTGGGTACATAGAAGGTATATATATTCATGGGTACATAAAATGTTTTGATACAGGCACACAATGCATAATAATTACATCATGGAAAATGGAGTATCCATTCCCTTGAACATTTTTCCTTTGTGTTACAAACAATCCAATTATACTCTTTTAGTTATTTTTAAATGTACAATTAAATTATTACTGACTGGCCGGGCTCAGTGGCTCACGCCTGTAATCCTAGCACTTTTGGAGGCCAAGGCGGGTGGATCATCTGAGGTCAGGAGTTCGAGACCAGCCTGACCAACATGGAGAAACCCGTCTCTACTAAAATACAAAATTAGCCAGGCATGGTGGTGCTTGCCTGTAATCCCAGCTACTCAAGAGACTGAGGCAGGAGAATCATTCAAACCCAGGAGGTGCAGGTTGCAGTGAGCCGAGATTGCACCATTGCATTTTAGCCTGGGCAACAAGAGTGAAATTCTGTCTCAAATAGATAAATAAATAAATACATACATACATACATACATACACACACACACACATACTGACTATAGTCACCCTGTTGTGCTATCAAGTATTACGGCTTATTCATTAATTATATTTTTTTGTACCCATTAACCACTCCCACTTCACGCCCATCGAGCCTTCCTTCCCAGCCTCTGGTAACAATCCTTATACTATCTATCTCCATGGGTTCAATTCTCTTGATTTTTAGATCCCACAAATAAGTGAGAATCTGTGATATTTGTCTTTCTGTACCTGGATTATTTCACTTAACATAACGATCTCCAGTTCCCTCCATGTTGTTGCAAATGACTAAATCTCTCTCTCTCTCTTTTTTTTGTTTTTTTTTTTTTTTTTTTTTTTTTGAGACAGAACCTCAATCTGTAGCCCAGGCTGGAGTGCAGTGGCAAGATCATGATGCACTGCAGCCTCAACCTCTTGGGCTCCACTGATCCTCCTACCTCAGCATCCCAAGTAACTGGGGCTACAGGCATGCACCATCAAGCCTGGCTAATTTTTGTATTTTTATAGAGATAGAGTTTTGCCATGTTTTCCAGTCTGATCTCAAACTCCTGAGCTCAAGCAATCTACCTGGCTAGGCCTCCCAAAGTATTGGGATTACAGGAATGAACCACTGTGCCCAGCCTCATTCTTTTTCATGGCTGAGTAGTATTCTATCATGTGTATGTACCACATTTTCTTATCCATTCTTCTGTTGATGGACACTTAGGTTGCTTCCAAATCTTGGCTGTTGTGTGACCAGTGCTGCAACAAACATGGAAGTGCAGATATCCCTTTGATATACTGATTTCCTTTCTTTGGGGTATGTACCCAGCAGTGGGATTGCTGTACCATATGGTAGTTCTATTTTTAGTTTTTTGAGGAACCTCCAACCTGTTCTCCATAGTGGTTGTACTAATTTACATTCCCATCAACAATGTATGAGGCTTCCCTTTCTCCACATCCGTGCCAGCATTTGCTATTGCCTGTCTTTTGGATATAAGCCATTTTGATTGGGCTGAGATAATATCCCATTGAAGTTCTGAGCACTTTTCATACGTCTGTTTGCCATTTGTATGTCTTCTTTTGAGAAATGTATATTCAAATATTTTGCACATTTTTAAATAAATTATTAGATTTTTTTCCTACAGAGTTGTTTGAGCTCCTCATATATTCTGGTTATTAACTCCTTGCAAGATGGGTAGTTTGCTAATATTTCTCCCATTCTGTGGGTTGTCTCTTCACTTTAATGATTGTATCCTTTGGTGTGCAAAAGCTTTTTAACTTGATGTGAACCCATTTGTTCATTTTTGCTTCAGTTGCCTGTGCTTGTGGGGTATGGCTCAAGAAATATTTGCCAAAACCAATGTTCTGGAGAGTTTCCAATTTTATGCGGTAGTTTTATACTTTGAGGTCTTAGATTTAATTATTTAATCCATTTTTATTTGATTTTGTCTATGGTGAGACATAGGGGTCTAGATTCATTCTTCTGCATACGGATATCCAGCTTTCCCAGCATCATTTATTGAAGAGGCTATCTTTTCCCCAGCATATGTTCTTGACACCTTTGTTGAAAATGAGTTTACTGTAGGTGTGTACTGTATTCTGTTCCATTGGTATATGTGTTTGTTTTTATGTCAGTATCATGCTGTTTTGGTTTCTATAGCTCTATAGTATAATTTAAGTCAGGTAATGTGATTTTCCTCTAGGTTTTTTGTTTTTGTTTTTATTTGTTTGGGGTTTGTTTTTTGTTGTTGTTATTGTTTGTTTTGCTTTGTATGGTTTTTGTTTTTGTTTGCTTAGGATAGTTTTGGTTATTCTGGGCCTTTTTGGTTCCATATAAATTTTAGCATTGTTTTTTCTATTTCTGTGAAGAATGTCATTGGTATTTTGATACAGATTGCATTGAATCTCTAGATTGCTTTAGATAGTATACACATTTTAACAATATTGGTTCTTCCAATCCATGAACATGGAATATCTTTCCATCTTTTGGTCCTCTTCAATTTCTTTCATCAGTGTTTAATAGTTTTTATTATAGAGATCCTTCACTTCTTTGGTTAATTCCTAGGTGTTTTGTAAATGAGACTACTTTTTACTTCCTTTTCAGTTTGTTCACTGTTGGCATAGAAATGCTACTGATTTTTGTACGTCAACTTTTTATCCTGCAACTTTACTAAATTTGTTTATCAATTCTAATAGTTTTTTGTGGAGCCTTCTGGTTTTTCCAGATATAAGATCATACCATCTGCAAACAAGAATAATTTGACTTCTTCCTTTCCAATTTGGATGCCTTTTATTTCTTCCTGTTGTCTGATGGCTGGGGCTAGAACTTCCAGTATGATGTTGAATAACAGTGGTGAGAGAGGGCATCTTTCAGGTGCTTCAGATCTTAGAGGAAAGGCTTTCAGTTTTACCCATTCAGTAAGATACTAGCTGTGGTTCTGTCATATGTGGTTTTGGGGTTTGTTTATTTATTTATTTATTTTTGAGATGGAGTCTTGCTCTGTTGCTGAGGCTGGGGTGCAGTGGCACAATCTCAGCTCACTGCAACCTCCGCCTCCCAGGTTCAAGCAATTCTCCAGCCTCAGCCTCCTGAGTAGCTGGGCTTACAGGAACACACCACCATACCCAGCTAATTTTTGTATTTTTAGTGGAGACAGGGTTTCTCCATGTTGGCCAGGCTGGTCTCAAACTCCTGGCCTCAGGTGATCCACCTGCCTCAGCCTCCCAAACTGCTGGGATTACAGGTGTGAGCCACCTCACTGGTAAAAACCATATGTGGTTTTTATTATGTTGAGCTACGTTCCTTCTATACCCAGTTTTTGAAGGTTTTTCTTCTTGTTGTTCATGACGGGATGTTGAATTTTATCAAATGGTTTTTCAGCATCAGTTGAAATGATCATAAGGTTTTTGTCTTTCATTCTGTTGACAGGATGTGTCACATTAATTGATTTGCATATGTTGAACTACCCTTGCATCCCAAAGTGGGATTTATCCCACTTTGTCATGAATGATCTTTTTAATGCATTGTTGAATTCAGTTGGCTAATATTTTGTTGAGAATTTTTGCATCAATATTAATCCGGGATATTGGCCTGTAATCCTTTGTGTGTGTGTGTGTGTGTGTGTGTG